GCAGCTACCGGGCTCTGTCAGCCCCCGCTGCAGCCAGCAGAGGTTACCACCCTTTGCCGCGGTTCAATGACTGCCCTGAGAACCGAGCACAGGGTTTACACAACAAACCGCACACCGGTTTGTGCCGATCCTGCACCGGGCGCACCCCGGCCGGGGAGGTCTCTGCCGGCACACGCCGGCGGCTGCCAGCAGTGAGGGCCCTGAACGTGACAGCCACTGACAGGCGGGGACGGCGGAGCCCGAGAGCGGCGGCGCTCGGAAGCCCTTCCCGCGGGTCAGCCCTGCCCGGTGCCGGGCGCCGCCGCCCTTCCCGCGGGGCCGGGCCTGGCAGCGGGGCAGCGGCACCCGCGGGGAAGGGGCAGCGCCGCGCTCACCGCGGCCCCTGCTGCGGGACAGCCTCGCCGCCCCTTCCCGTGCCCGGCCCCGCCGTGTCCCCGGGGCGGCGGTGCCCAGCGCCAGGCGGCAGGGGACGCGTCCCGGTGCCCTTGGCGCCGCCGACCTCGCCCGCCCGGCCGCCACCCTCCCTCGCGGCCCCGCTCCCCGCGGCCGGTGCCCGCGGGCCGTACCTGTCGGAGGGCGCGCAGCGAGCGGCCAAGCGCGCGGCCGAGGCAGCGGGGCCGCCACAGCGGCACCATCGCGGCGGCGGCGGCGGCGGCGGCGGGAGGGGCCGCAGGGCGGACACCGGAACCAGGCCCGGCGCGAGGCGGAAGCGCGGGGGGCCGGACCAAGCGCCCAGAGCGGGGGGAGCAGCCGGGGCGGGACCATCGCGGCGGGGCCGGACTGCGGGGCCGGGCTGTGGGGCACGGCCGGACTGCGGGGCAGGGCCAGGCGGGACGGGGCCTGCTCATAATATTGCTGTGTGTTACCGTATATGTAATAATGTAGGTATTAACACATCCTTTATAATATATGTGATATTGAATACTATTACTTATAGATGACATACATATATCTATGTATTACATATGCTTATATAAACACGTATGCGTACATATAGATGTTATTATACGTAATGGCATATATATATGTGTATAAATAACCCCGTGCATTACGAGGAGTGCCGTTTCATGAGCTGTACTCTGAAGCAGCCCTGGGTTGCTGGAGGGCAGCTGTGGCCGTGCTTTCCCTGCTCACCTTGGCAAACCGCGGCGCTGAGCCGGTGTGAGATGACATTGCCGCAGGCATCACCCCGTAGGATGCTGCATGGTTAGAAACGGGCAATGAGGTCATTCACCATGGCAAACAGGAAAATGAGCCCACAAGTAAGCCCTGTTCCTCAGCTGCACTCTGTATGTTGAAAACATTTGAGAATTCCCCAGCTAGCTTCTGTTTTCTGCCTGCTTCCAGGCAGGGAACCACAGGTGGAGGAAAACCCAAGGAACCTATTTACAGATTCTGAGAATCAGCCCAGGACAGTTACAAAGGGCTGTCTGGCAGCCAGGCATCTCTCAAGGAGCCAAGTCTGGGTTATTGCACAAGTGCTTAATTTAGCCACTGCTTAATAATATATGAATGGTTAACTGCAAGCTTCAAAATATGAGATCATTTTCAAAGGAAAGAGGTTGAATAAAAATCAACAGGGGATAGTCTCCAAGGCTTTGAGGATGAGCTGACTGCTCTAATAAAAGGTAACTGAGCCAGAAAGGCTCTCTGCCAGGGGTTTCTCTGTGATCTGTCTCTCGAAGGCTAATGTCCTTGCCTTGAACAATATTGACCACCTGATGTCAACTGCCTTTAAGCATAGCCTCCTGCCCCCCAGTGAATACACCAGGCATTGCCATGCTCAATTAGCCTGTGGAAGCACAGCAGATGAAGCCCCAGGAGTGGCATGCATGGCTAGGCTTTGCCCACCCACCCACAGCTCCTGCATGAGGATAAGTGTCTGAGAACCACGTGTGCTGCTGGGGCAGGTGGGTTTGTCCTGGGGCTGGGGTCAGCATGTGCTCAGCTGGGAGTGATGCCAGCTCTGCTGGTGCTGTCTGTAAAGCACCCTGTGACAAACAAGGGACTCCGTGCTGCTGCTTCTCCTGTGTGGTCCCATTTTTTGCCCATGTCCTGTTCTGCAGACCTCCAGGACAGCCAAATTGCCTCCGTGCCCCCACGGTGCGGGATGTGGGAAATGCCTGGCCACCTTCCATGGAAGATGGGTAGCTGCTGGGATCTGGGCCAGCTCCTTCCTTGCCGGTGGCACGGCTTATCAGCCTGCTGTGTTTGCATTGTCTCACCAATATTTCACTATCCTGGGTCCTGAATGGGGCTTGCGGCCAAATTCCAGGCCAAAATTGCTCCTCTGGGCCTCAGCCCACCTGGGCAGCCAGCACCTCGGCACCTGATAGCCCTTGCCTGACTGGCTCCAGGGGCTACGAGTGCGGCACACAGCAGGGAAGGTGGTCGGACGCTGATGTTGGACCTGACCTCCTGACTGTCCATCTGCATATTCAGAAGTCGTTTACAGCTGGTTGGCTGCCTCCGGCCTCCCCACTCCCTCTTTAAAGGCCCTGAGCGCGGCGGGAGGACGCGCCGGCACTGCCTCTGCGGCTGCCCGCGCCCCGGGGCTGCCCTCGGGCACCGCGCTCCCGGGGCTGCCCTCGTCTCGGGCACCGGTGCCCCCGCCCAGAGCCATGCGGCGGCCGGGGAAGGCTCTGCGGGGAATTGTCGTTCGCAGGGACAGCCCGCCGCACCGTGCACGGCTGTCCCACCGAGGAGCACCCAGGGAGCCCACGAGGGGCGGCTTCAGTTTTGGAGAAGGCACACTGCCCTCGTCTTCTGAGCATCTTCGTTCCGTTCCTGTCTTTTCCTCCAGGTAGGAGAAGTCTCGGCTGCTTTTTAGTGTTCTGGAGGGTGGCACTAGTGAAAGCTGCCAGTAAAGTAAGAGTGGGAACCAAAGCACGCACCCGCTAACTTCGTGGGGAAAGAGCTGCAGCAGCAGGAGGAGTTTGCTTAGGGCAGCACCTGCTGGTCCTGGGGATGCTGCGAGGGGGAGCCAGGGCCACCCACAGCAGGCTGCCGTGGCCTGGGACGGGAGGCTCTACTCCCTCCCTCCAAATCTCCAGAAGAAAGACGGTGATGCTGAAAACCTCAAGCAGGTGGAGGTCACCTTGCCAGCTCTGAGCTGATCTGTTTAAAAGGAATGTATCACAGGTTCCAGGGGACTGGGAAACAGCCCAGGGGACAGGCAAGTTCCTGACTGACCCTGCTGTTGAGCACAGCAGATGAGAGAAATCGTGAGCAAGTGTCAAAATAAGGTGTTTCTGTAGAAAAACAAGTGAGGTTACAGGATCACACCACTGGGGAAGGACTAAGGCTGGATGGAATCTGTGACTGCAGTGTGTTTGCTGTGTGACTGTGCTGGGAGCAGAGGGCAGGCTGAGAGGCAGGGCAGGCAATGCTCAAGCTTGTGACACAAGGGCAAGGCAGGATGGTCAGAGCTGCTGGCGCCCCAGCCTTGTGCTGGCTGAGGATAAACTGAGCACTTTGAAAGGCCCTACACCAGACTCTTAGGAAAATGAAACCCTAATGGTCAGGATGGGTGGGGAGGCAACACAGATCAACATGTGGTGGCAGATAACCCAGAAAATACTTGGTTTGTCAAGACTATGGCTCTGCAAAAGGTAGAGCCTCCCAGGCACCTGCCTGGAATTCAGGGTGTTTGAAGAAAGGCGATCTGCGAAAAACCCTGAGAAGAAACCCATTTTCTACACTGCCTGGAGCAGCTACAGGGACAGGAGACTGATGGTGTTAAAAATGATCAGGTATTTCTGGGAACAGCAAAAGAATCTCAGACTTTAAAGGTGTCCGGAAAAGACAAGAGCTGTCCTAATTTAGCGGTGCGAAGCTGCTGCTAATTAATGAGGATAAGGAAGAAACATCCCTCAGGGATTGTTACTGTGTAATCGCCCAGGATACAATGTTTTACACTTTTGCAAAGCTGTGCAAGAGGGGAGTGAGCGGAGGGGGTGAATCCCTGCTCGGAGCCAGCATGACAATTTTAAGCCTGGGGCTGCTGGCTCAGTATTTTTTCTCTTCCCTGATAATCCCCATCCTCATTTCTTTTATTCAGTATTTTGCCAAGCCCTTAGGGACCCCATGTTGCATTAGCCTGACCATCTCGATGCATCCTGCTCACAGCAGGTCACATTGCACTTTTACCCTCTCCGTGCCCTCCTGCACCAGGCTCTTTGTGCCGGCCCAGCCCGCAGGTGCTGCTCCCCATCCCCGAGCCCCTGGGGCTCTGCGGGGGTGTTGGGGCCAGCAGAGCCGGCAGCACCCGTGGCCCAGGTGCCTGTGTGAGTGCCTTCACCAGGGGTGCAGCTGCTCCTCCGCACTGTGCCAGGAGCGCCAAACCCACCCTTTGCCCGGGTGTACGTGGCAGAGGGCTCTGCCTGCTGCTCCCTGCCCTCACAGCAGAGTCCACAAGCCCAGAGGGCAGTCTCCCCAATGCCTCTGGTGCAGATGCAGCTGGTGATGCATGAGGTTTGTGCTGCCAGGCACTGCCGGGCCCAAAGCAGGTTGTGAAAAATGCCAATCACTTGATTTTAAAAGTTTAATAGTACTAAAATGGTTATAAAAATAGTAATACAATTAGAGTAATAATAATTTGGACAATTTGGATTAGGACAATATGAGACAATAGTAACAAAGAGTTACGGACATCTGGGTACGTTTTTCTGGGCAGCACAAGCCCAAAAAAGGACCCTCGTTAACAAAGGATTAACCCTTAAAAACAAAAACCTGTTGCATATTCATACACCCCATACATGATGCATAAATTCCATTCAAATACAGGATTCTGTCTGGTCATCCTCAACGTCTGCCTCTGAATCCTAACAGTGCCTTCGAGGTGGGAAGAAGTTCGCTTCTTCTGATAAGAGGGCAATAAATTCTTTTTCTCTGAAAGATTTAGGTGTCTTGTGGCTGCTATCTCGCTGCGAGTCCTTTCTTAAAAAAAAGTATCCTACATAGCATAGTTTCTATTCTAACATTTTTTTCATAACCCAAAACTATATTTAACACACTACTTAAGAGAATTAATACAGCATTACTTTCTAACACAACACATATAATATTCATTTTAGTATGAATTGGTTGTGAAAAGCCAATCGTAAAATGCCCATTTTTCACAAGGTGAAATGTACTTTAGGCATGATGAATGCCTGGCTGGTAGGTGGGTGGTGGGGTGGTGCCCAGGGCATTGCTGCTGTCATGTGACATCTGACAGTCTGCTCACAGGTTTTGCAGTGCCTGGAGGTTTCTGTCTCGGTCACTCCCTGGTGAAATAGTTTTTGCAGGGGAGCGGGGATGCCATGAAAATCTGGAAGAAAAAAAATCTCTGGCCCTGCGCTTGGAAAACCACTGTATGAGGTCCTGTTTCTTGCTCTTTCTCCAGTTCCACAGCACTAGCAGGCTGAAACATCAAACATCTGGAAGGCTGCCAGTCTGTCCAGGCAGGAAGAAGATAGGATGGACAGCAGCACTGGCCTTGAGCGGGATAGAGACCGTGCTGCTTCAGGGCATGGCCAGGGGCTGAAATTGGAGCCCTGTTTCCAGACTGACTCTCTCTTGCCTTCCCCCAGTGCATCCCTGATTCCACAGCTCCTCAGCCACACAATGGTTGGCAGGAATTTGGATCCCACCGTTCTCTTCCCTTCCTCTCAGGCAGTGGCCCTGCCTCATGACTACAAATGTGGTGCAAGCCTTGGAGAAGAAGCACAAGCCCTGGCTTTCCCCAGGACCCGCGCCCCAGCTCCCTTGCCCTGTGCTGGTGGTGGGGACCAGCTCTCCAACCAGCACCCACAGGAGCAGCTCTGTGACCAGCACCTACGAGCCAAGCGGGCCAGGGTGGAGAGCATCATCCAGGGCATGAGCCTCCCACCAACCCCGCAGGCATCTGACACGAGCCTGGAGGCAGCTTTTGGGCATGAGAGGGAAAGGGGTGGGGAGATGCCCCAGGAGAGCAAGAGGAAGCCAAGAGTGCCCCAGCAGGGCATGGGGGCAGCCGGAAGAGTGGCTCCCACAGGGGGCAGCTCCCATGCCAAGGGCTTCCAGCAGCTGAAAGAGCAGCTCTGCTTCTTAGAGCAGCAGCTATGGTGGCTTCAGGAGAAGTTCTACCAAGTCTGTGACTCTGAGGATGCTGCCCAAACGCAGGAAGATTCAGAGACAGTGCAGCCACTGCCTGGAAAGCCCCAAGACAGACTGAACAAGGACAGTGGCACTGCCACCAGCAACCCACGGCGAGTGCCTCTCAGGAGGAGTGTCCTGGAGGCGTGTGGGCTGGAGGAGGCTGAGGACACAGGTAACACAGGTGGCCTGCCCTCGGCAGTGAGGGTGCTCTCACAGGCACTGAAGCACGAGCTGTCTGTGGTGACATGCCACGTAGTGGACTCTGTCCTGAAGACTCTCTGGCCAAAGGCAGACAGCCACATCCAGAAGCAGCACCACAGCCCTCCGATGGGGCCAGATGCCAGGAAAGAGTATTCTGCTGGTGGGAAATGCAGAAAGCCACTTGCTAAGCCATCTGCCATGAATGCACCAGGCTCCCTGGGCTCACCCCAGGCTGAGGCCTTGACAGGAGCTTTGGGGAAGAGCCTGGGCTCTTATGCTGCCTCCTTCAGCTCAAAGGGGGTCAGAAAATCCTCTCGGGTACCCAGCATGGGTTATTCCCTGGGCTCAGCCATGCCTGTCCAGCACAGCCAGCTGCTGAGCCAGCTGTTGGGCCATGGCCAGCACAGCCCCTGGGGCAGTGACTCTCGTGAGAGCCCATCTGCTCTGGAGAGGGGTTGTCCAGAGCCCCTCAAGCTGCCCTGGGGATCTGTTAAACTGAGGTCATTGATTGTGAGACAGCAGCAGCACCATCCCCTACCCCTGAGCCCTGCCAGCATGGAGAGCCTGGCACTGCTGCCAGCTGGCAGGGATGGCCATGGTGAGCTGCCAGCTGCAAATGATGGAGCACCCTTTGCCTCGACCCACATATCCTTTGGGGGTAGCTAGAGGTCCCTGGGGAATGCGCTCCCCTTGTCCTCTGGAGCCACAGCTTGGCACTGCCCCACTGGTCTCCACAGGGCCAAGGTCCCTGTTCCTCCATAGCGGCTAAAGAGGCGTGGGCAGGAAAGGAGCCCTAAGCCATGGAGGGGCACTGCCACTCCTCAGGGCTGGCCAGATGCTGTAGCATAGCTGTGGGTACAAGCCAGGAGCTACCAAGCCTCCTCTTGGGCTGTACTGGGGGTCCTGTCATCCTAAACCATGAGCAGGAGTCTCATAGAAATTCTGGCTCTCACAAGACTATGAAGTGCTGTGGGGAGCATTAGCTTCATCAGGGATTCTCAAGGGAAAAACCAGTGGCTGTCCAGCCAAGGATGAACCCCCTCTGCCCCCCTGACAGGCCAGGAGGGGCTATGGAGGGCACTGGGCATGGTGTGCCAGGGGTGGTGCTCAGGGACATGCCGAGCTCGGGGTTGGCTACGTGCAGGCTTTCCTTGACCCCAGGGCAGATGCAGGAGGTGCTGACCCCTGGGCACCTGAAGAAGGCCAAGCTGATGTTTTTCTTCACCCGCTACCCCAGCTCTACTCTGCTGAAGACCTACTTCCTTGATGTGCAGGTAAAAGAGCAGCAGCCAGAACTGCTGCTGGGCAGGGCTCCCACGTGGTGTGGCACCTAGCCTGCCTCCCTGGGAGGAGGAGGTGGTGTGGCACCTCCCTGCCTCCATGAGGAAAAGGCTGTTCTTGTGTCCCCCTGCCTTGCTGGCAGGAGATGGGGGACAATAAATAAACCCATTTATTTCAGCATGGGCTGCCCAGGAGCAGGTGCACAGGGCAGTGGCAGACATGGGCTATCAGCTCTTCACCCTGTGCAATTGAGTTATTCAGATTAAAGCACCCCATGGATGTGCCTTCTCACTGCAGGGCAGCTGGGATCTGAATCTCAGTGTGGAGAGCACATGGGACATGCTGATGTCACTGCCCCAGCTTGGAGCAGGGCTGGGTTTGGGCCAGCCCAGCAGCGCCTGGCTGGGTGTGCAGGGGCTCGGGGGAGGGAGGATCCAAGCTGGCCTAACACCATCCCCTGACTGTCCCCCCACCAGTTCAGCCGCTGCATCACCTCCCAGCTCATCAAGTGGTTCAGCAACTTCCGTGAGTTTTACTACATCCAGGTGGAGAAGTTTGCCCGGCAGGCCCTGCTGGAGGGTGTGGTGGATGCTTGCACTCTGCAGGTCTCCCGGGACTCAGAGCTCTTCCGTGCCCTCAACATGCACTACAACAAGGGCAATGACTTCGAGGTGAGGAGGGGGACAGGGGAAAGGGGGTGGTGGTGTTTGTGGGGGTCAGGAGGCACCATGGCATGGTGGTGTCACTGGCTGGTGCCTGTCTTGCTGCAGGTGCCAGGGCGCTTCCTGGAGGTGGCCAGCCTGACACTGCAGGAGTTCTTCAGTGCCGTCAGGGCAGGCAAGGATGCCGACCCCTCCTGGAAGAAACCCATTTACAAAATCATTTCCAAACTGGACAGTGACATCCCAGAAGGGTTCAAAGCTGCTGGCTGCTCCCAGGAACTGCTCCACAGCTGAGTGTCTGTGAAAGCAGCTCTGGGTTGTGTGTGCAGCCACCATGTGCACCTCATGGGCACTCTGTACAGTACCTGTTATTTGAGGTATTCTCTCTCTGAGAGCCATGCACTCTCTGTAAGACAGCTTCTTAGGTGAGGCCTATCACTTCCCTCATGTGCTGGGATTTTATGCTGCATTGCATATGCTGCATTATGTGCATTTTATTCTGCTGCTCAGAACTGGTGAGGACTGCCAGAAGGGACAGAGATGAAGCCATCAGGTTGGAGCCTGAGAAGTTGCCCTGTTCCAGCTCTCCCTATGATCCTGACTGAGCTGCCTTCATTCTCTCTTCCAGAGGGTCAAAAACCAGGGCAAACAGCCTTGCTGTTTATAAAACAGGAAGAGGTCCTAGTAGTGGGCAAAGTTTCCTTGGCACAGCAGACTAGCGGATGTACCGAGTCCAAAAGCATGACTCAGTTTCTGTCCAGATACAACACACCAGTGTCCAAAGAAAACAGCTGGTGAATTCCTGCGCTTCAAGCACTCCATGGGGATAGCTGTTCCTGTCTGGGATATGTAAAAACTATGTTTGTTGTAGCCAACAAGAATAACAGTCTCCTCTACCTCCCCTGTGCTGTTAGACCAGATCCCCCCGTGCAGCTCTGTGCTGTGGCCAAGCAGTGCGTGCTCTCCAGCAGTGTTCTCTGGCATGCTGGAGGAGAGCAGGGTGCACAGCCTGCTCTGCTTGGCACTCCAAAGAGTCTCCATCAGCCCACCACCTGGGAGGAAACCCCCATGTTAAACATCCATCCACATTCCCTCACACCGCGCTCCTGCTGGCAAAACTGCCCCAAGCATCCTGTACTCTGCCCCTGGTGAAAGAGGAGAATGTGACTTGAGATCCATTAGTCCCTGTGGGTTTAACACAAGCTGGGGAAGAACTGGGCCTTGACATCTATAACCCCATTGCTGTAAGGGCTGTAAACTCAAGGAAGTTTCTTTACCCTGTGGCCAAGATTTAGTGACCACTTTTCTACCTGATGGAGAAGTGTTTTGTGTTAAGGGCTCTCTAATCCTGACAGAGGTGGCAGTGGAGAGGAAAAGGCTGTGAAGAGGAGGGAGTCCTGACAGAGGCATGGCACGAGGGCACTGGGAGGGCAGTGATGAGCCACAAGATACTCACACAAAACCCTCAGGGAGAACACTGGGAAAAGGCCAAGGTAATTTTGGGTGTGCTGTAAGGTGTCAGCTGGTACTAGAGTGCAGCAAGTGACTCTTGAGAGGAGAATCACAGCTCCAGCATCAGTCAAGTGCATGGGGTGATCCACAGGCAATGCACCTACAGGAGTAAAGAAGTGGAAACATCAGGACATAATGGGGAGCTCTGAAATAGGGGCAGTTTGACAATGGGTCTCCCCATTACGAGTGTGGCCACCCAGATTTCCTGCTTCTTTTTGTATATTTATTTCTCCAAGTTTGTATATTTTACACCACCAACACAAAATTTACATGATTCCTTTTTAAATAAACACATTGTTTAAGTTACCCCTTTACATCCCTGATGACCTATTTGATGATGTCTGTTCTAAAGAGTTATCCTAGAAATTTCTGGCCTTTTGCTGGGAAAAATAACACTGCAGAAAAAGGGCAGTCCTTCTGCCAGCACCTCTGTGGGGTCAAGCAGGCCCCACTAACCAAAACCAGCTCCTTTAAACCTTCCCCCTCACCCCAGTGCCTCATGGTTAGTCTGCTCTGGAGTGCAACTTGTGAGGATCAGCAAGGGGGCTGGAGGCACACAGAGCCATATCCCAAAGCTTTAGGGTGCTGGACTCAAATGTACAACATCAGATAAATGCTGCTGGTGATACCATGAATGTGCCATTCCTGCAGGCAATAATGACCCCAGAGCTTAAGTAATGCTTTGGATAGGCAAAACCAAAGCTGCTGGAAAGGGGAATGATGGACTGGCTTAGGGAAGGGTCAGCAAATTCATCTGTTCTAGCTAAATAATTAGGGAACATAAGGAACAGGTTTACTGGAGGCATCCTGCTGAAACAAAGCCTCTCACACAGAGCTCCTGGTGGGGGAAGCAGTTTCTTGTTTCCTGTGGTAACATGCAAGTCCATGAGCGTCAGTAAAACAGCAGATGGGGGACTGAGGACAAGACAGTGCTCCAAATCGCAGTCACACAGTGGCTGAGGTTGTAGGAGATGTCTGGGGGTCATCTTGTTAAACCCCCTGCTCTAGCAGGGCCACTGAGATGGCTGCCCAGGACCATGTCAGAGGGGTTTTAAGTGTCTCCAAGGAGGGAATGTTCATGAAAGGGTCCTTCCCTCAAACACACATTAATGAAGACATTTAACAGGACTAGACTATTTGCAGCAGTATTTTTGCCCCAGTGGTTGTCTAATAATTACAAGTGGGAACTAAAGAGCTGTGTATTACACTGGTTTTTGGGAAATGTGGGCCAGTATGACCACAACAAACAGCATCTGGCACCTGTTACCCTTTGCCTGTGCTGAGGTCTCACTACTTGTATCCATGGGTTCTATTCTTACCATGTAGATTTCCCATCCAACAAAGATGTTAAAAAAACCCCCAAGAAACCCCAAAATAGACAAACAAAACACCCCCATAACATCCTCCCCAAAACAACAACAACAAAACCAAAACAAACTCTCAGAAAACAAAACAAAAGGCCCCCAGCATGGCTAGAGAGACTGCAAAGGACTCAAGATTACAGGCCACTTGAGCCATTGGCTGGCATCTTCTTTGGCAGCTTTTTAACCTCTGTCTACCTTCAGCCAAGTGCGACAGAGACCACAGAAGCGTCAGAGGTGCAGAGGTAGAATCTTCCCACTTTTTTGTCACCCTGTGGTCCTCCTGCAAGCAGAGATCCTGCCTGGGGAGCCTGGAGTGCAGCTGCCTCCTCCAGGGCCACTTGTCTGTTTGGAAGCAAGGGTGGTGCACTCAGACAGGCACAGCTCTGCTGCTGAAGCTGAGTGAGCTGAATCAAAAAGCCTTGTGCTCCTATGAGAGCCTGGGAGAGCAGCAGGCAGCTGAGAAAGAAGGAGCTCACACTGCCTTCCCTCCTACCTAAGTCACAAAGTACTGATATGGAGAAGGCAGTACCTCTGCTGGGAGGTGGGGAAAGCTGGAGTTACTCTAGGGGCAATGGAGCCTGAAGAGTGAGGGAAACAGGGTATGAATTCCAACACTGTCCAGTTACTGGTGGGGTTCTGCAGGGCTCCAGTTCTCTTCAACATCTCAATGACTTAGGAACAAAGGAATACTCAGAATACTAAGTTTGCCAATGTTAACTCCCTTGAGGGCAGAGAGGTCCTGCAGAGAGACCTCAACAAATCAGACAGATGGGCACCAATTGCATGAAGCTGAACAAGGGCAAGAGCTGGACTCTGCACCTGGGATGGGGTAAGCCTGGCTGTGTGTCTCCACCATCCTCAGAAGGTGAAGCAGAGGGGCAGGCACTGATTTCTTCTCTCTGGTGCCCAGTGACAGGACTTGAGGAAATGGCATGAGGCTGAATCAGTTTAGGTTAGATATCAGGAAAAGGTGTTTTACCCCGGGGGTGGCTGGAAACTGACACAGACTCCCCAGGGAAGTGGTCACAGCCCCAGGCTTGACAGAGTTCAAGAATTATTTGAACAATGCTCTCAGACACATGGTGTAACTCTTGGGGTGTCCTGGGCAGAGAGGGGAGTTGAATTGGATGATCCTGATGAGACCTTTCCAACTCAGCATATTCTATGCATCCATGAAATGAAGGTTTCACTACCTGTGCTGTGCAGAGCATGGTGTGTAAGGTCATTTACATTCTAGTTGTACCCAAGACACAGAAGCTAGTTTTCAAACAAAGCCTAATGGGTGCCACCACAGAGAGAGTCCTTCTGAAAAAGTGAGTCTGCTTGGAGGGCTGAGGGGAGAAGGGAGAGCTGCTGCCCACACAGAGACTATGGTCATGACTCCCAGGCTTGGCTGGGCTCTTGCTTCACCATTTCCCACTAATTAGCCAAGGAAATAATTTGGGTAGTGCAGTCACTACTGCTGAGTTTCACCTTTAAATAAAAAAAATCCTTTCCTTCCCTCTATCCGAATTTCTGTGGTACATGCAGAAACCCACAGGCACTCGTAACTATCTCCTCTGGGAACAATTCCTCAGGGCTATCCTTTAACATTTCCAATTGCATTCCCAGCCCATCCACAACAGCACACAGAGTCCACACAGCTATACAGCAGCAAAGGCTGCTAAATATTTAAAATCACTGATTCCTGCCTCCAGGCTATGGCTGCTGAAAGAGGGAGGTGTGACCACACTGACTAAGCTGGCAAGGGCCTGAGAGCTCTTATGTACTCCTCTATGTTAATACCTACTATAAGAGCCCTTATTACTCATATGTAGCTAATTAGAGCTTGAAGAAGTTCCTACTGAGTATTTGCCCTGTATGCCAAAATAGTTTGGGGGAAATTGACAATAAAACAAATCTGTTTTTTCATTTATTTCATTTAATGACTTGCACCTGTCTACAGTGACTGAACCAGCCCTAGAAGGTCCCAGCTCAAAAAATGTTTGTGAAAGGGTCCTTCCCTTGAACACGCATCTTAGATTCTTATTTGACATCAGGGCAGCTCTCCACATAAGTATCCCTTAGTGAGCCAGTGGCCCATGTTCATGAAAACTCAGTATTTGCTGTCCCATTATAAGCACTGGAAGGACAGATTAATCCAGTGTACAATTACCACATTTGAGAGATGTGACTTTTCACTGGACAAGACAGCCCTTCCTCTGCCTCTTGAGCACAGTGCTGCCTGTGCTGCAGACCAAGCACCACCTGGGGAGAAGGTGAAGCAAAAAAAAAAATGCATGGAGAGACTGTGGAGAGCAGTCTTGAGAATAAAACAGGCTGTGGGTCACTCAGGACAGACTGGTATGTCTAGCTGATAGCAAAAGCTTTTTCCTTTTGCACACCAAGAAATAATGTATGACTTGAACCATGGACCAGAACATGTGAACTAGGGCTCTGCCAGGTGCCATTGCAGAGCAGCAGCCAGGTGAGCTGTTCTCCCTTGACTTACTCAATGAAAGCCCTGTTTTGCCAGTGGGAAAGGAGCCACACAGCCATGGCTGCCCTGGCTCACCAGCCTGCTGTAGCAGCTCAGGTGCAGAGATGAGGATGCTGGAGAAGGGAGATTGGAGCTTTGACCAGACATGACACCACAGGCTTGACACCGTGACAGGGAGGCCATCCTGTAACCCAGGGGCTTTTGAGGGAGATACTCTGATCAAGGGCACACAAAGGAGTGAGCACAGCCAGCCTCTGCTGGAAGCTGTCTCCACCACCCAAACCCCACAGGCTGGTGCTTGTCTTGGAGGGGGGTGGCTGGGGTGGGAGAAGAGGACAGACAGGCTGTGAGAGAAAAAGCACACACATATGTACGTCCATGCATATACATACACCAAACCATTAAATCAGTTTTTAAAAGCAAGCCTGGTAGAGAAGGATTGAGAATGGCTATTCAAGTAAAACCAGGGAGAGCTGTGCACAGATCTGAAGAAAAAGCAGATTTAAGTCAGCACTCAACACTTGTGAGGACAGAGTTCATATTCATATACTAATTCCTTCTTATCTAATTATACTGGCTGCTGAGTGGCAGGTGAAGTCTCATGTTCAACATTTTCCTTTTTCTGGTAACATACAAACATTAGACCTAAAATTTGAGAAAATTTCTGTTTTTCTTTCCTTTAGATAGCTTTTAGCATTTTTACAGCAAGCAATCCCCCCGTCATCATCTTCTGCAGTATTTCTACAGGCTTTCCAAATTTAGTCATGTTATTTGGCACTAGGCTTTTGATTAAAAGTTTAAAGGGTAATTTTCACTTTATGTACTGGGGTTAAACACTATTCTTGTTTTTGCTAAGCCAGTAAAACAGGCACTACAGATGACCTACTAAGCAACTCTTAATGACACAGCATAAAGTCCAACTAGCATGAACTAAAGTGGCAGCTTCCCTCCTGGTGTTTATTGCCTTCAGATTAGTTGTTTTACTAGATTTAAAAGGATCATTTTAAAATGTGCCAGTCTGTACCCAATAGCTCAATCTTTTTATCTTACTACAATCATAGAAAATAAGCAGCTAAAACTAAGTGGTGAAGTGAAAAGGTGAGTATATGAAAACTACAAATGGAGGAAAAAACCCCATGACACTTCAAGGAGGATATTTTACTGGATTTCCCAAAGCACATTTGTGTCACCCATAGCTTTACACAAAGAAATGATAAAAAATACCTTGCATTATTTAAAAAAATACCTAACATGTACACACATAAACATGTATCTATATATCTCAATAGAAAACCTCTCCTCATTTGGTTCTCAGAGAGCAAACACAGAATATACAACAACTTAGGTAATTGTTTTTTATGTCTCGTTTCCAGCTTATTAAGAAAATGTAACCACAAGGAGAATAATAAAAGCAACAAAGAATTCATGCTCAAGGGAAAAGTGAGGCCAGCCCTATAGATCTCTGCATGTACTAAGTCCCTATTATTGACATTGCAACCTGTGTTGAAATAAAAACAATTACAAAGGTTCATTTTAGATAAAATGCTTTAGGGATAGTACCTACAGTTACAAAGAGGTAGTGCTGTAAAATGGTGTTTTTCAAACCCAGAGTGCTTGCCCCTCTTGCACAATCATTATAAAGCTGAACTATCACCTGTTCATGTTTCCCAATGTCCAAGGCTGCAGCTGTGAGCCCACAGATTTTCAGTTTGTTGGAAGGCTGTGCCCATAAAAAGGCATTTCCTTCTGAGCACAGAACACCAGGTGCTTTTTACTTGGCAGTGCTCTTCAAATAACCTCTTGGGAAAGCACAAGCTCCAGTGTAGCACCCAGAGTCACTGCTGCTGTCAGAGCTCCACTGCTCTGTGACTTCAAACAAAACATTTTTTCTTTGACTTCAAACAAACCACTTATTCCGCAGCTATCTAACCCCCGAGCTTCACGGCAATCACCTCCATTTCTGACTAAACTTCTAGTAAGCAATGTTATCCAAAAGACCAGGGCAATTCTTACAGGAACTGGAAGCATCAGGAAGTAAGAAACATCATCTCGGTAATGGTCTCAGCAGTGACAGCATTCATGGCACAGTTCTTGGCTGTAATGAAGTTGTAGCAGACCAGGCCAAGGAGGGAGTGTGTGATCTGGTGAGAAATGTTCTGCTTCAAAAACTTCATGGAGCTTTGATTATTTATTGAAATGTACAGAAGTGACAATACTATACTCACCCATGTGTCAGCACACAACTGGAGACATGTCCATGAACACTGTATGACTTGCTTGTGTAAGCATCTTCCAAACTGCAGTGTAACCAGGATGCTGCTGGCAATGTTTTCTGCATTTGAATAGTCATACAGACCAGGGAAACAAAATCCTTGCAGGTCCTGGGCTTACTCATAAAGATGACTGCACGTCATTTTTTAGAAGGGGCCACCTCATGCTAGGAGGAATGACCTTTGGATTGGTGTTTCTTGACAAGTTACACTGGAGAAGATTGCAGTGGCACAGAGCATCTGTTTGGTGCAGAATAAATTGTTGTGTGAACTCTTGAGTAGCTAAGACAAAACTACAGAATCATCTTTCTCTTGAGCTGTTGTAAGGCTGTTTCTGTAAAACTGCTTTGGGTATGTCAAGGAAGAAAAACAAGCAATTTCTTTCCTTTACACCCTCAGCAACACCAATGACTATCCCATCCCCTGGTATCTAGTGGTATTGATACACTCTAAACACCATTCCACCATTGGTGATGATTTGCCTCCAAATTTATTGCCAATGAAAAGCAAGTTTAGCTCTTCACTGTGTCATGAATCACAGGCCAACACTTATGTGGGAATACTCTAACTTGACAAATAATGAGTATGAAGGCCTCAGTCAGTAACCACAGTTATCAATACAAGATCTTACCTCTCTTAATATTACTGTGTGGCCTGTTATGTCAGCCACAGCCAACCATCCACCTCAGGGCCATCCAATTGCTTTTTTCTGCAGAGGCTGTTCTCTGGCAAATAGTGGCAGTAGCAGTCCTTGGCAGAGCAGCTTCTCATTGTAAACGATGCTGGAACCAGTGTGGGAGGTATTCTTTGGGAGCATTGCACTGACATCTCCTGAAAGCAATATGTAGTGCCCTGAAGGCCCTTTTAGAAAAGTTTACTGTGCCTTGCATCATCCCTGAGACATAGTCATGATCCAAAGATCTTGCTGTTTCAGCAGTTCACAAAACAGTTCACCATTTCTCAAAGCTGCTCCTATAAGCTTTTTGTGCCAGTTCAATTGTCTTTATTCAGTCTATTATTGAATGCAATTCAGTCTATTATTGAATATGTTTGCAACCATTCAGTGACTTTTTCCACGGGAAATAAACCATAGAATTGCAAGTCCACACCCAAAACATAACATCTCTAGCACACTGAAAGCTAAAGCCGAGAAAGGATTCTCAGACTTAGGAAATAATAATTAAGAAATCTGGGGGAGAAGGAGGTAGAGAGGATAGAGAAATGCAAGCACTGTTGATGTAACTCAGATATCATGCAGGTGTAAAACAGAAATCTGTAGAAGTAATGAAGTAATGACAAGGCAAGTATGGCGTTCCAAAAAATCCGGTCCTACCTGGGAAAGATCTACATGTGATAGCCTAAATCCTGTTACAAATAAAGGAGCACTGAGAATTAACAGGGAGGAAGGTTTTGTGCAGATGCCTCTCCAATGTCTGTTTTTCCCCATAAGATATTTAAACACAGCTCTAGCACTGGGAAAGTGTCCTGCCATGACAACTGATTTCTGCACTGATAAGACTGAGCACACAGTTATGTTATCAATACACTTGACCACAGCATGCCTTCAGACATTGGGCATGCCTCAGCACATGAATTCACATCCCACACAACTCCAAACGACAAGACACTCATCCACCATCCTATATGAAGATGGAGCATTCCCCCAAATGCAAAATGGAAGAGGGAGATCCAAAACATCAGTAAAATAATTGCTTTAAAGGCATCTGAATATTCTTCTCAAGCTACATTTGAACCACATACACTGCAACGAGACTACAACAGGTAGGCTTTGGAGTAAAAATGAGGCTGTTTATGCCCAAGTTAACTTCAGGGCCATCCCTTCAGCCTTACAGCAGACTTTCTTTGGCTATTGAGAGAAGGGAAAGAAGATACAAATAGTTATATTCTTAATAAAGCAACATGTAGATTGCCAACTTCTTGGAAAAGAATATTCATGTTCCTCCCTAACTGTAAAGTACCTCCTGCAAACTGTGCAGCACTCATACTGCACATTGTGCAAACCTATTTGAACAGTTGGCATTACAGCTGCAAGTTTGTTCCATTGTGACAGATCTCCGTAGTGCCTCTGGATCCAGCTGAAGTTCTGAGTCTTCTTAGCAGAGAAAAGTTAGCAGGTTCTTCTACAAGAAGTATCCTTGGTGTTTTGGCTTGGATATTTATCCTTATGTTTCTTCACTCCAAGAAGAAAAAATCCAAAACCAAAACCCACAAAAGATGCAATAACTCTGGAAGGCTTCAGAAGCATTATTTCTTACTACAATATATTTAAAGACTTAACACTCCAAAAACAGGTATTAGAAAGTTAAAATCCATTTTCCATTAGAAGTCAAACGTTGTAAAGGTTTTTGGGAGGATATATATGACCGTTCAATTTTGATGCCTCTCATTATAGCAGAAGAAAGATCTTGTTCCATGTTTATACTCAGCAGGTTCAATGAAGCACAAAATCTTGACTGTGACCTGCAAGTGGTACTCTACACAACAGCACAATGTTAATCACTGATTTTTTTTCATAGAAAAGTAGCCTTTCCTTCATGAAGTAGAAGTTACTGGTTTATAACTGTATCAGGCAATATGAAACCAGAAAAATCAAATTATTCTGTAATAATAGCACGTTTTTTCCCCCCGATTTAATCCTAATGTGAATTCAATGCTTTAGTGCCATCTGATTGTCATTACCTGAAAAATCTTGATTTCTGGGTGACTGAGGACATCTGGTACCAGACTAGTTGATCTGTCCATGCCTTCAAAGAAAAGAATTTGGCAACTGTAGTTCAAGAGAAACTGGACCTCAAAGCATAGCAGTAAAGACTCATCACTTGCACAAGAGTTTTGAGCATCCACAGATGAATATATTGAAACAATGTGGGTGTTTGTCTGCAAGGTTTTCTGGCCTTCAAACAGTGATATGGTCTTCTCAAAAACCCAGAAGCCACACATATGCAAAGGCTTGTACATGGGTCAGTAACAGCAGTCAAATAAAACTTTTATTACTGTTTGCATCAAACTTACCAAAACAGAAAAAAACCCCCCTGAATTGCTGTTTAAGATATCTTGTCATCCACATACAGTGTATGTCACCACTGAAGTAAATTTCAATAGAAATATTTAGAGTTTCTGCAATTAAAGGCTATATACACTCTGACACCAGGAAGACTTGCTGCTGTTCCCTTCCTGTGCTAATCCCAGAGAATTAACATCCTACAAGATTTAAACACAAAACATTTTAGATTTCAAAGACTTTTTTCTTTCCTTTGGTAATGTTTCAGTTTACATGTAACCCTTCAAAAGCTTCTTCAAGACAAACTGCTTTCTAAATCTGCTTGCTCAACTATACTCTTGACCTGCAGGCAAAAAAATGGCAGGGATTAACTTAAGATTCTCCTCCATAAACAACAGTAGCTAGTTGAGCTAGTAGCCAGTAGCTAAATGAGACATCTCAGATAGTGGAGCTGCTAGCACATTCTACCCACACAAGACAGATTCCAGCTCTGATAATTAGAGTAAAAGTACATGAACTTCTTTTCCTTCTTTGGGTTTGGTTTCCCCCTCCCCCACCCCAAGGACCACTGCAGTTATAATTTCTCTCCAAAGACAGCAACATCACAGGAATTGATGATGACAACCTTGCAGTCTTAAGGTATTTTTAAGAGTACTAACTGTTCAAACAGTAACTTCATATAGGAATATACTGGTCCCAGCAGACAGTTCAGATGCCCTCCTAAAGCATAGCATGAGGAATTTCTGGTGTAAAGCTGAACATCCATTCATACAGGTGTACATTGACCAGTTACGGAAACAAAAGTTGTCCCTGTACACACATACAAGGGAAACAGTATAGAGAAACACTTGACTGACAGACACTCCAGAGACAAGCAGTAGGGAGAGGTCTCCTCCCGCAAAAAGATTCAATCCGGGAGTTCCATGAGGTAGAAAAATCTTAGGAAAAAATGAAACTGTGACATTTCCACCAAGACAACTTTACATCTTTGGTTCTGCATATTGAAATACTAAATCCTACAATTCAAAGAGACTAGAGCCTCCTGTCAAGAAACCTGTCACAGAATAGAAAATATAAGCAACTTCAAAACACTTCTGCCTCTCCATTTGCACTAACTTACTGTGCCTTTGTTTGGTAACAGTACTTCAGCTTACCTGATTTAAGCAAAATTGTCAATAAAAATACATTCTTCTTCCAAAGAGTATTAATCAGCTAGAAGGTGATAATTTACCTGAATGGAATATTGCTGTTATTAATTTTCCAATCTACATTCAAGAGGAAGACTTAAGGCTCCAGGCTGCAGATTCAGTACCATGCAAATTTGGAAGAGAAATCTCAGTTGCTGGAACACTCCAGAGGTAAGAATAAAACAAAGCAGTTTCATCATGAAGAAGTAAGTGATTAATCCTGAGCAGAAATAGTAAGTGTTCCTTGGAGTAAACAGTCCTTTAGTTTGTTGAAGGATTCTGACTCACGCATGTAGAAATAGATGAACAGAAGAGAAAACAATTTTGATTTAAGTTTTACAAGAGAATAAAGATGATTGTCCTAGAGGCTCAAAATCAGAAATGTGCCATTCATATTTTAAATTCTATGAAACTTTTGTTCTTTGTCTTCTCATTTCTCTTATGACAAGAAAACTAAGTATAACCACAGTTTAAGAATAGCTGATGCTCCAAGTGCACAGATCTCAAGTGAGAAGGCTACCTCTGCTCCTCAAATATTTTACCTCATAGTATGCAAGTTGTCCTGCTGCAGTTTGATCACAAATTGTCAGTGGACCCAAGATCAGAATTTAGAACTCATTTTCCAGAAGTTATCTGAGAAACATTAAACAGTGAAGAGAGACATAACAGAAAGAAACCATATATCTATCATTATTTAGCTTCCTGATGATGCATGCCATGCGAACATTCCATAAGCAAAGAAAACGCAGTACTGTTTCTCCTTTCCAGTCCTTGAATGCTGAATTACAATACTCCCAGGAGAGTTCCAGGCCTTCATTTCAGTCAGCTCACAGCTACCTAGCTGCATGCTGCCAGAGACAGCATGAACTTCATAGCAAAAAAGCATCTTTTGCTTCCAAACCCAGCTCAACCACATTTCTCCAAATCCAAGGTCTGTCCAGTATTGCATGGGTGGCAACAACATGAGATGGCACAGTCTGCTAAGGGAAATTGTCTCCTAAGGGCTCAAAAAATGATTCATCATGACAGCTGCATTTATATAAATGAACAAAGTATTTTTTCTTCTGGTAATAATAAATTTGTTTAGGTGTCCCACAAGCAGAATTACTTTATTCCTTTCAAAAGGATTCTCAAAGTGTCCTGGTGATGTTGAAATCTCAAATTGGGAAAAACTGATTTTGGCTGGTGAGGTCACGTTCTTCTCTCTCATTTGAAAGCACACTACCAACAGACTATACTTCTGTAGGAATCACACTTTCTAATGTGACTTGCAACTTACAGTTCTATGATAATTTTTAACTATTCAACTGCATTAGACATGGGCTTTTTGGGGATAGGTTCATATTTGTTTCAGTGTAATGTCACAACTCTATTTTTCCGATTCAATCCTTTCAGAAAAGATTCTACTGAAATCTTCTCAGTATCCCCAGGGTTACCTGAACAGTTGCTCAGAGATTAAAAGGCTTCTGAAAATATTTAAAACAACGCCTTACAAAGAGAAAAGAGCAGTGATGTATTCTATGTATTGACAGACAGGCAAGGAAAAACTAATGGACAGGGTTAACAAAGATGACTGAAGCAAAGTCCAAAAAATGCCAAACTCAACTTGATGTGTGAAAAGTAAAACTAACTTGTACCAATCCCAATTCTTCCCTTCAAAAGACTCAGAAGTAATAATGTAAAGTAAGTTATTTATCTTTGTTGATGTAAAAATTCAAGGAAAACAGAAAAACAAATTTCTAGAACTGACCTAATACTCTCAGCTATTATTTCACTCTTTCTTACCATAATCAGACCATAACATTTAAAGAGCAATCCTACAGTAAAACACAAGGAGACTGAGGATGACAACTGTGCTCTATTCACATAGCACAGCATGTTGCACATTCCCTTGCAAAAACCACATGTACTTATCTCATGAGACAGGTAGCTTCAACATTAAAAAAAGCAAACTGACTTGAAAAAAACTGAAGTGTCATAAGAAACTATAATTCACAGAAAATACTGTTTTAACAGTCAACTTTGGTGAGAAGGTAGCAACTCCATTCTGCAGTAGCTCATATTTTTTTCAGAGCTGAATTTTTCAATATGATGCACAGAAACAGCTCAACTTGGAGTTAGCACAATTGCATGCATGGTCAAAGACTGATCATTACATGAGAGTGCTAGATGCATATCTTCCTATTTAGGTACCAATGAAAGCTGAAATTCATTCTGCTCAGTGCTGTGAAAGGTTCTACTGACAATTTCAGCAAGCATAAGAGTAAGAGCTAAATCAGGATCATGACAATGTATTCTGTACTTAAGGACTTCCCAGACAGAATCAAAATCACTAATTACCAAACTCTGGTTAGAAGCCAAGCAAGGGATTAGCTAGCTATTCTCAATTCTGCCAGCATCAATGATGAATTTTTCCTTTTTGCTTGTTTTCTTCAGTCACTGAATGTCTGGAGTATGTAGAATCTGCTATAGGTTGTAGTTCTGGCATAAGTTATTTTCTTTCAGAGCCACTTCCCATCAAGAAGTTGAAGAGTGATCTGCTAAGCATTCAAACCAACTGAAACAAATGGCAAAGATTATGGATATATTGATATTTCTGTACTAAAGAAGGAGAAAACAACTGAAACAACAACAACAAAACCCAAGCCTTTCAGCCTTTTCTGGTCAAACAGTCTGACAACAGTCTACAATGGTATGTTTTCATAAGTGAATTTTGCTTTAAACTTCAAGACTGATATATTTTCTGCCAGTTCTTATCAGAGTAAAATATAATTTTATGAATATTCTCTGCTCATTTTTCTTTAGTTCTACATGCACCACAGAATAAACAGCATGACATAATCTCTCAGTATTATCTGCTAAAATAATACAAAAATATGTAAAACCAGTAAACAGTATTATAACTTCTGACAGACACTATCCATTTGAATGCTCCAGAAGTACTCTTTAGTCTGAAAAGAAAAATGTTAGAAAAGGATCTGGTACAGTTGTATTACCAAAAATACAGGCAAAATCACTATCAGTTCTTAAGAGTCAAGAAGCAGCATCAACTCATGGTGTGCCACGAGAACTTCAGTTTTGTTATGAAAAACTGAGTATAGACTGAAATCTATTTTACACATACCTGAGAGTAACTTTTCCAAAGTGAAGCTCACCTGATTTCCACAGCAATACACAGTATTCATTTCTTGTTAGCTATTAGTTTTCTTTTGCCAACAATTCTCCGTCACAATTCAAAGAGTACTTACTGAGCAACATCTTAGAAGCATATATGCTATGTAAAGTAAGTGTATGCAGAAGATGTACATTTAATACCTTCTATTTTAAAAATGCTGCATTCAGGGAGCTCAATTTTCTTGTATTAAACATATTTGGGGCATAATACAAGTTCAGCTATTCCCCTTGTTTACTGAAGAACTTTTAATCATGCACCACAGAGAAGGCCAAGAAGCTGCCAATACACCAAAACATTAGAACGGCAAACAAACCCATCTATTACAACCATGCTCTCCCTTTAACAACCTAAACTACACCACCACACCAGAACAAGCTGATTTACCAACCTAGATGCAAAGCACAATGTAATCACACAACAGAGAAGGAAAATTCAGGACTTCATTTTCTTTCCTCAGAAAGATCAGGAGGAAAATTCAATTCAATATTAAAACAGCAATTATTTTCAAATTTAAACATACTTCCTGGTATGACATCGTAAATGCAAAGCATTTGCTTTGAAACCTGTGAGGACATAAGAAAGTTTTCACCATCAAACTCAATGCTCTGCAGAAGTGATATCCCAGCATCTATGAAGAATCTGTATCACTTTTAGTAGTGTGGACTGTTATTCACTCATCTTTTTTTTTTCATCAAGCTTAACACATTTATCAAAGGAAAAGAAGGGTATAACTTCTGGTCTTTGTCACTTCTTTTAATGATATATCTCTATGACTCAGTAGACTTATGAATGGAATTAAATACACTGATAGGGATTAGTGATGAATAAAAGACATAAGAAGACCAAAACAAATTTTCTAGGCTGCCCCTCAGAAAACTCTATAGTACCTGTTTTCATATTGAGCACTAAAGACAAGTTTTTCATACACTGCTACCTTGAACATTACAAAACCATCCAACAGAATTCATACTCACGTAGTAACGAAAATTTGACATAACTGAGAAACTAGGATCCAAACATAATGATATTCCTGCTTTCCAAGAACATGAACTCCTAAAGGCCAGCAAGACCTGGGGTCTTAATGGATCTGTCTATGAGAAAAGAGCAAGTGAAAAACCTAGAAGACAGGACACATTCCAGAATATGAGCACAGTATGTCTTCCAGGTAAGGATGGTTCTGAGCACTAACATGTGAACACAGACCACATTCAAAATGTCAAACAAAAACCATACTACATGGTCCACCAAGAACACTGAGTTTATAGTGAAATTTATTGTTCTGCTTCCTAATACAATAAGCTACAAGGTACATACAGTATAAAACGAGAACATCCACAGAGCAAAGGTGATAAACATTCTGTGACGGTACAGTGGAGGTAACATCTGTCTAATCCTTCCACTTTATCCCACAAAGAGCAGCTAAAACTACTGACCCTCCCCCTCCCTCCCCTCCAAAAATATTAAAAAGTAAACTTTCTCTCTCACTTAGGAGTAGTGGGATTCATTGAGTTTTTTGAGGGCACTGCCAGTTATCTGCCAGTATCTCAAGAAAATTGCTGAAATTAAAGTAACAAAGAAAAATTGTGAAGGTGGTAGTGACATGACCCATGCAAGATGCTCATGACACCTTGGTTCACTTCTCCGCAGAGCAAATGGCCTGTAAAGAAAGGAAAAGTTTGTTATGTCATGTAAACCAGCAATTAACATGGTTAGAATTAAGATATAATAAGCAACATCTGAACTCAACAGGACTAATAGGCACACAGCTAAACTACTCTAAATGGAACCACAAGCTTCCTGTAATAAGGCTGGGAGATCTGAGAGCTGATAATCCTTCCCCCTTTATTGTCAGGTGCTGTACAGAAGGCTGCATGTCAACATAGGCACAGCTGACACCTACTATACAAAGTTCCAAATCAAATAACCTTGTCTGGGAGAACTCAGCCTCAACTCTTTAAAAACAGCAAGGCTACAAACATTGATGGAACAATGGAAGATGAATATTTACCTCAAAGGCACAAAAATCCATTTAACCACTTTTTCATATATACTTGGTGCGGTTGAGGGCTCTCTCGGCAAGGTGACCACTTTCATCTGTTATCTTCTCCCAGTCAGTCTGTCCAACAACAAAACCGATGGCCCTTTTCCGGTCAGCATCTTTTTTTTCTTCTAGATCTGCCCATCGCACCTATGGAGAACATCCTATCAGTACAATAATCTTCCAAGAAATCCTGATATGAATCTAGGCTTTCCACTGCAAGTAAGAATACAAGAATACTAATTTCTACTCATTTTCCTTAGAACAGGTAAGTATTATTTTTTTCTGATAGGTAAAGAGGGAAATTATTTTTAACTGAATGGACCAGGTGTTCTACGGAGCAGACAAAAGGTATAGATAATAAGCTTTTTCCATTTCAGTGCTATAGCTCTGAGAGTTGAAGTGTAACTACTGCAATTATTTCTCTGTTCAAAGCGACACTTTCTGCAGGAAGAATTATCCAAGACTCATTTACTGTTTTATTTTTATAGAAAATCTGTCTTTCAATTGCACAATGGAAACATCTAGAAGATGACTAAGAAACTACAGAAAGACAGTGTTAAAGAGCAAGACAGCAATGAATAAATGAATGAAGGAGTTTTCTTCTCTAGCTTTCATGATATATTTCTATTTAAAATTCTCCACTATTTCTTTACACTAAGCAACGTTTTCATACGTATGTTATTTCCCCATCTTTACATCTCCTTATCTGCACTGCACCTCTTCATGGCAATGCAGAACCCTTTAATTTATTCTGTTTAATATCCACAGTGACACTCCCAAAACAAGACACCAATGGGAGGGAGCAACAGGAAGGAGGGAGGAAGAGGTGCAATGGAGAAACGCTCCAGGCCAGAAACTCATCTGAAACACACCATTGCAGGACAGTGAAAAACAGTAAGTGAAAAGCTCTTCTCTGCACACTGATTAGTCTCACTCAGGCCTCTGTGTTACTGGGAAACGTAGCCTTATCAATTATCTGCCAGCACCTCCCTATCCTCAATCTACCTGGATTTCCCCTGACATTCCTGCTGATAAGCAATGTCAGTTTTCTTCCACCATCATCTCCTCTGCTAGTGCCTTAAGTACCTCCATTTCCCTCAGACACACGATCCAGTACTACCAGTTTTCTATTTGACATTACAGAGCAAATCAATACCCAAACACTGATAGCTAATTCAAATTACTGCTAGTGGCAAAAGCTGGCCTTTCTATTTTACAGAGAAGGAAAAAAAAAACATTACCTCCTTCTATTACATCTGTCATCTCCCTCTATGATTTTTCCCCTTTTTTCACAACAGAATTTCAACATGCAGCACTTGGTATTCAGACCATGTCACCCATAGTTCACTACAATTCCTAGCTCTGTTATAACTAATATGTTTACCTCTGGAAGACCCTACTTGCAGGCATAATTTCTTACAGAATCTAATGGAACAGCAAAATGAAAAGGGAGTCAACGAAATTCCCATATTACCAGACAATGAATGACTTGATATAAGCTCTCTTTCACAGAGACCATTAAAGGGTTATATACAGACAGTAAGTCATTTGAAAATTTATTACCCTTTTCTTTCCAGGTTCAGAAGCACGTGTATCATAGTCATCCGGAAGCTGCAGATAATCTTCTATTCTGCTGGCAATTGCTTCCCAGTCACGTTTTCTTTTAGCGCCAGTCCGCAATCCGTCCAGCTTGTCTGAGAACAAACACAGAGCCTCAGCGTTAAGGGAGATTATTTTTTCTATTATTCACACAAACAAGACAAGAGTGGAAAAGTTTTCAAAAGAATGAGCAGCAGAATTTGTACATCCAGCTTGTCTTGACAGGTGTAATGATGAGAGTTGAAATAAACTAAAGAAGACTCAACACAGTTTTCAAGTTTTATTGATCTTTCATGTTAACTGTGTGGCAATAACACCCAGTGTTGTTTTCTATATGAGGGAGAAAAGGTTTGCTCTTCTGGATCTACATGGAGTCTGCCCTTACAGGTACAATATAGCCAACAATAGCTGGAAACCACAGATCCATCTTTCTGTATTTGAACACAATACTAAAGCTGTAGCATTTTTTCCCAAATTTGGGGATCAATAGTGTGTCATACATGGCATACATGCAGTTTCAGGGAACAAGTGGCAATTATATAACTTAATGCATCAAAGACAAGTTTTTGAGATACTGTTTCTGCTAAACAAAACGCTCCTTGGAAAGCCTGATTCTCCCCTTTCTTTTTCTCTCCCCGTAAGGCAACCACTTAAAAAGTCTTCCAGGACTGGGAGAAAAATATCTCAGAATCTTTTCTTTCATGGTGCAACAGGTCAGTCATGAATATTTGAACTGTACATTTGTCCAACAGTCCTCTTTTTCTTCTTTTTCTTATTGAACCGATACATGAGGAGAAACAATTCCATTCCTAGGTTCTAAAATTTTGTTCCACTTTAGACACTTATTCTCAGTAAAGAAAACAACACCTTTTTGAAATTATGTGGCAAACTGTCTTTGGAAAGGAGATGAAACATTCATTGTAAGATTATGAACAACAAAGCACGAAAAGGAAAACCGGCTCTACAAGTCAAAGGAAATTCTGTTACTTCTGTCGATGTAAACTACCAATTTATAAGCCAACAATTCAAGTATGTGTAGAAGGAACACTAAGCTTGGCAATTACATTCATTAAACCATTACCAGTGATGTTAGAAATACTGTTTCAGAAGTCACTGTTGTAATTAAATTCACCCACAAAAGGCCTCAGAAATAGACCAGATACAAGGCAGCATTATTTTCTGGATAGCAGAAGATGATATTCAAAGGTATGTACTTAAAGAAACTCAGTTCAGAGATGAGTTTTTTACTTAATATGGGAGAGAGGAGAGTAACAATGGAGATAATGTGAGGCAATGGTACTGTAGACATGCTAGTATAATTTAAAGTCCATAAACGAATTAAGTTATTTCTCCCTCACACACCTCAAAACCTTTTAAAGACTCCACCTCTGCCCCATTTCCCTGGAACAGATACAGAACTTCTTCTAAAAAAACATTATAATCCCCCTGCTTCTTAAAATAGCCAACATTTAAGAAAAATGTTCGGAATATTTGTATCTATTACATTATCTAGTTAAGGTTCTTCTTTTGCTCTAAGTTAAATCTGCAAAATTTGATGCTCAATCTCCATAGAAAGGTGACACTCCCTCTAGAAGACAAAATTTATTTATTCAATATTCCTCTATTACTCCAGCTACATTCAATCAGTGTAGATAATTTGTGGCATTAAGCATTTTCCAGAAAAAAATAACATTGAAGAGGAGATCAACAAACTCATTGAGGAGCATTCAGGAACATGAAAAAGTGAAAATGTAGGAGTTCTCTGTTGGCAAGTACCTGTAGACAGACATATTCCTGTTGGAAGGAAGCTATGATGCAAGCTCACCTCATTACCATTGTGAAAGTAAGTTAAGTCTCCCACTCCCTGCTGCACACCAAACAACTGAAAACATTGCCAAGAAATGTGTAATGCCCAAATGTCAGTAGAGAGCTCAGAAGCTGTTCAGAATATGCAGTTCCTCTCTGTCCCTTTTTGTTACTGCTACACAGGATTTATTTTAAAAAGTTATGTCCTTCCATGTTTGAAGCTGGATTGCTTTTCCAGAGAGGTCTGCTTCCATCCATACTATTGCAGTACATGTGTCATGCAGCAGATACTACACAAATGTCAAAAACCTGCCACAAAGGATTATTTCAGAATGTTCTTTTCTGAAAATGAGACAAGGTGTCATTTTGTAATGCTGGTGCTTGTGATTATTTATGGCTGATGATTACTTAGTGTTAAACTACTGAACATCATTTTACCATTTCATGTTTAAAAACAACAAAGCAGAAGCATTTCTGAAAACCCGCAAAACTTAAAAACTCACCTGTAAAATTTTTAAAGTAACATCTGAAAGCAACTAATTTAATTAGCTCCTTCAAAACCTAAATAAATCAATCAGTTAAATTTTGCCCTTCTTACACAAAAGTCACGAAGTTTTATGTAGAATCCCATTTGTATTCTAGAGCAAATTTTACAACGGTATCAAAGTTTCAGGTACACCAGAGCCCATTTCTTCATTCCTGAAAGTTTGTAGAACTTGCCACTAAGCCACACCTTGAAACAGAGCATTGCACTAAACACTACTTTAAATTCCAATAAAAGAATCTTTGTGCACTATGCACTGAGAAGACCCATGAATAGACTTTCAGAATGAAATTGTGGCTGTGCACAGCATATAGGAAAGGATAAATCACACACGTACCCAAGAGGAATATAAGAATAAAATAAGTCTGTGCTAAAGCAAGAGCTCTGGGTCATATGTTTGGCAATTGTCACAAGTCAGGATTCGCAGTTAGAACTCAAACTTTTCAGACATCTTCTGAGGTTTATTACAATCAGCAAGATCCTACTGTGCTCTCCTGTAAACAACATCTACTCAAAAAGAAAACAAAAAAAGCAAAACAAGACTCAGAGCATCATTTTTGGAGTCTGCACTTACGTC